TGGCAGCTGCCTCCGGCCCCCGGCGCCCCCGGCGCCCTCCGTCAGACCCGCCCTCTTTGGAGATCGCGCCCCTCAGTCCCCAGGAACACGGGTGGGCGGAGAGTCACTGTCCTGAGCTGACCGGAGGGGAAGGACGTCAGACCCAGGTGTGGGGTCGCCGCGCTGGGGTCGGCGTGGGGAAACCCGGGGCGCGGCTGTGGGGAGACAGGTGGCTCTGATTAGGGGGCGAGGCGCCCCCTGATTAGGGAGGGAGGCCCGCGGAGGCTCGAGCCATAGAGAGGGCGAGTCTGCAGGGGGCAGAGCCTCGCGCCGGGGAGGGTCTGTGAAGCCTAGGGCCGTGGCAGGCACCGGGTCCCAGGCCAGGACCCTGCACCTGCACCCCAGGGGGCCTGGCGCCCGGTGGGTGGGAGGGGCTGCGGCAGGGCGGGAGGAGCTTACCCAGCCTGCCAGCTGGCTGGAGGGCAGGGCTGCTGAGGCCCAGGCTGGATGCTGGGCGCTAGGCTGGATGGGCGGGTGCTCCCCGGGCTCCCTCAGCCCTGTCTCCGTGTCCCCAACTCCAGGATCTGTTCGGCTCCTCCCCATGACCACTCCCGCGCCCAAGCTCTCTGCCCTCAGCTGCCAGAAGCTCCCCTCCTCACTGTCCATCGCAAGGTCTTCTGTGTGACCCCCTTCCCACCGGGGCGGCCCCTCTCCCCAGCCAGTCCTCCCCTGGGCTCCCTCTTGGGCCGGCCGCCTCTAGCTCCCTCGCAGTCCTCACAGGCCCCCAGCCTGCAGCACCACCCTCGGGTGGGCCCGACCTCCTCCCCGGCTGCCCCTCCTCTGGACCAGCACCATGCCTTCCCCCAGTTCCCCTGCTCAACCCTGGGTCCCAGTGGCTCCAGCTTAGCCTCAGCCACCGGGCACTTCTCCCTCTCGCTGCCTCCCCTCCTCCCCCCTCGTTTCTTATGAGCTCTGCTGGGCCCCTGACTCCTCCTTGGCCTTCCAGCATCCAACGGCCAGGAGCCCACTTTCATGGCCAGCCCTGGGGAGGCGCAGGAGGAGGAAGGGGAGACAGAGGGGGGCCCCGTGGGGCCATGGGCAGCCATGCTGGCGCAGGCCCAGGAGCTGTTTCTGCTGTGTGACAAGGAGGCCAAGGGTTTCATCACCCGGCACGACCTGCAGGTGAGTCTCCAGTCCCAAGGGGCTGCCCAGCCCGGGGCTGACCTTGGCTGCTCAGCCCTGCATCTTTGTCTGGCCAGGGCCTGCAGAATGAACTGCTCCTCACGCCAGAACAGCTAGAGGCTGTGTTTGAAAGTCTGGACCAGGCCCGCACGGGTTTCCTCACTGCCCGAGAGTTCTGCCTGGGCCTGGGTGAGCCCTTCCCTTGCCCCCCCACCCTGACGCCCACCCAGTGAGCCTCCCCTGGCACGTGTGGGGACTCTGTGGAGCCCACAGGTCACACAGGCTGCAGCTTGTGCTCCACAGACAGGCCCCCGGCTGCTGTGGCATGTGTGGAGCTGACCCCTGCCTCCCCACCCTCTCCCCTGTGCCAAACCCAGGTGGGGCTGGGAGCCAGCTGTCCATTCTGGCCTGAGCCCAGCTGTCACCTCCCATTCCCAGGCCAAGAATCAATCCAAAATAAGGAAGAAAAACAGGAAACTGGGCTCAGAGGAAGGGCAGGATATGTGTGTGTGGGGGGGTGGGGGCTGAGCCAGGGTGGGACCCACGGTCCTGGTAATCTTTCCCTCCCATGCCCACAGGGAAGTTTGTGGGCGTGGAGTCGGCCCAGGGCACACTGCCCTCCCGGGCTTCTGAGGAAACCTTTGAGTCGGGCTGGTCCGAGGTGCAAGGCACGGGGGGCTCCCTGGAGGAGGCGGAGGAGGAGAGATTCACCGCTGCGCTGGAGCAGCTGGGGGTGGCCCAGGCCCTGAGCCAGTGAGTGCGCCGGTCCCACTCCCGGTCCCCTCGGCTGCGTGCTGCCCGTCTGTCTCTCCCGTGTCTGTCTGCTCTGGGCAGGGTCCCCAGGCTGGGCCTGGCCCCGCGGTTCTCTCTCAGCCGCCCCCGGGAGGGGCTGGGCGTGATTTCTCGCAGAATTTGCATTTTAGGAGGCGGCAGAAGCGGCTGCTGGGAGGGGCGGCGCCCGGCACGGGGCCTCTGACACCTGGGCCCAGCCCGGCGTAGACGTGACCCCTCGCCGGCCGCGCGCACGCACTGACCCCCCGCAGGGGTGAAAGCACCCCCCCAGGAGGGAGGCCCTGAACGTGGGAAATGCGCCGGCTTGTGCGGGGCTGCAGAGGTCACCTTGGGGAGGGTGCGGAGACCCCACTTCGGCTCAGCCCCGGTCCGCGCTTCCTCCAGGCAGCGCGCGGTGCGAAGGCTCTGGGTCCGGCTGCAGCGCGAGCGGCCCGAGCTGCTGGGATACTTCGAGGACGTCCTGATGCGTGCGTCGGCCTGCCTGGAGGAGGCGGCCCGAGAGCGAGATGGCCTGGAGCAGGCGCTGCGGCGGTGAGGGCTGGGGGCGGGCGGGGGTCCCCGAGGCGGCAGGG